CCCACTGTAAATGCAAGGCCAGAATTATTGAAATAAATATAGGCCCTAAACACAAGAAGAACAATTCAGTCTGGCTGGTTTTCAAACTGAAGCTTTATCTTAGTCCTTTAATTCATTCATGCAAGTAATTTAAGTTTGAGAATAATAAAATATGTGTAGCACAGTTTTCTTATTCTTGTTTATGACAATAGTACACAAAAAAGGTACCCCTTAAAAGGGCCACGGATTAATTTTTCATTAGATATTCACAGATGTCTCTAGATAAATGATGGCACTTTTCTGCACTGTCAGGGAAAAGTGCACATAATTATCTGCGACTCTTGTGGATACCCGCACGAAAACGCAGTAGATACTCCAGCGCAGTAGATACTACAATCATGCTGCAAACATGCTTCAAATCTGCTTCGATTTGGGAGCTAATTAGCATATTTGAAACATGCTTCTTTCATGCTGCTAATCTACTGCATTAATGCTCCTCTCTGTACAAACCTATGTACTTTTTGGAGTAGAATTGCAGTAGGCTATACTGCCTTTCTACTGCAAATATGCTCCACACCACTACTGCGTTAATGCTTCTTTGCTACTTCGATACTACTGCATTTTCGTACGGGTACCCTTCCAGCTGTAAATAAAATACAACTGGACTGGTCTTTCTATAATGAGAGTGTAGAAAGCGGCAGGACAGGATGGGATCACACCTGGACTGTTGAAATTATGTACCAGTTAGCTCTCTGGTGCATTGTGCAATATCTACCTGGTATAGTTGGTCTTTATGCACTAGTATAAATGTATGTGTTTAAAAGCTGAGCACTGTTTTTATAGTGTACCGTTTGTCCCTTAAATATTTTAATTTCCTTGGTTAACCGTACTTGCACGCATCGAACAAAGCCACTCATGCTTCTTCATTTGTCGAGAAAAAACGAACTTTGAGGTATTTTACCAACTTACTTTAATGAACCTTTTCATACATATAGAATGAATGTCCTAAACGTATAAAATTTTTTACGCTCAATTCGAGCGACATTACGCTTTCGACTAACTTAGCGGATAACACAATATAAAGATTCCACGGTTCGTGTCAGATTTACGTAAGGTCGCGCAAAAAAAAAAAAAAAAAGTCCACATTATGACCAGTTAAATGACTCATTTGTCGACGCTCGGTATCTACATATTCTAAGTGAAGTCTCCAACTCTCCGAAACTACGTCCGTCTCCGTGCTCCGGTCCGTCTCTCTCAATCTCCTTCTCCTCTCCTCTCCTCTGTCTCCTATTCTCTCCCTTGGACATCAATTCCTATCGCTTATATACTTATTTCTTATCTATGTTCGATACACGCAAACTTTAATTACTTACAATTGTATAATTAATTTCTTTACCTCGGCGTTATACAAAGAGGCCGACACATTACTCGAGAACTATTGGATCACATCATATGACCTCATATGTATTATGACAGCCACCTACCCAGCAGGCATAGTTGCGTTGGATCAACGTTGAAAACAGGTTGATACGCTACCTAAATTCAACGTAAAATCAACGTTGATCCAGCCACGTCGAAACACCGTCATAATGTGACGTTGACTCAANCAAAAAAAAAAAAAAAAAGTCCACATTATGACCAGTTAAATGACTCATTTGTCGACGCTCGGTATCTACATATTCTAAGTGAAGTCTCCAACTCTCCGAAACTACGTCCGTCTCCGTGCTCCGGTCCGTCTCTCTCAATCTCCTTCTCCTCTCCTCTCCTCTGTCTCCTATTCTCTCCCTTGGACATCAATTCCTATCGCTTATATACTTATTTCTTATCTATGTTCGATACACGCAAACTTTAATTACTTACAATTGTATAATTAATTTCTTTACCTCGGCGTTATACAAAGAGGCCGACACATTACTCGAGAACTATTGGATCACATCATATGACCTCATATGTATTATGACAGCCACCTACCCAGCAGGCATAGTTGCGTTGGATCAACGTTGAAAACAGGTTGATACGCTACCTAAATTCAACGTAAAATCAACGTTGATCCAGCCACGTCGAAACACCGTCATAATGTGACGTTGACTCAACGTTGTATTTTGGTCAATGACACAACCTTGCAGTTATGGATTGTAATTTAAAATATTAATTATTGAAAACGTGATACTTTGTCTATCAATACTGTAACTAAATTTATCAAAATAAGTAAAAATTACAGTTGTTTTGTGTCTTTAGTTAACTAGTGAATTTTCTTATCTTGTTATTCAGAAAAACATTCCAATAAACTGAATTCCTTGCAAGGTCAGCTAACACTAGGATGAATAAGTTGCTGTAAATGTGATGGAGTTAACTGTTCTTGGTAACCTGTTACAGATAGACAGGTTGAGGTGACTGTGACTTTGTTATATATATATATATATACAGACTTGACATTTAATATGGAATATTTTTTCCAAATCATTTTTCATCAGTTTTTTTT